CTGTAAACTTTGATCTTAATTTTCCCAATATTGCTCATGAGTATGTGTCCAGTTTTTCAACAGAGATACTGTGAAGAGAGACTAAACAGTATAATCGTTCCATGATTTTAGAGGCTCAGGGAGGGAGACAGGTGACTTTTACTCCTGTATTAATTTCCTGAGGTAGGGAAGAGTCTTTGGTTACATTCACAGATGTAAGTATTTAAAATACCTTTCTCTTCAACAGGACTCAGAAAAGGATTTTATTTCAAAGTATGCTATGAGCAATTGTTATTAGTTTTTCACCTGAGAGAAGGTATGTGTTTGTGAAGGGAAGAGGGGAAAAAAGATAAACAAATGAATACCAAATTTGTGAAGAAGTGAGTACATAAGGTAAAGAAAGTTCGCATGAAGCAAGCATGAGAATGTTAAAGACACACTTCATCTTCAAATTTTTATTTTGGAGCTGTGCATTACTGTATCTAGACTTTTGGCATTGGGAGTTGTATGCGATGCAGAATGGGTTCAGTAATGTGGAGATTAGAGCTGTTTCTTCTGGAGTAGTGTATTGTTTCTTAGCATCAAATAACTATAAGGAAATCCAAAGGTCATGGACTTCTAAACCTTCCCATGCCTAGCCCTCCAATCTCATGCTGGATGATGGTTCCAGCTCCCTGAACTTTACCCCTAACTTAATTATATAGATACTCAAACTCCTCACATGCTGTGGAGTTCCTAGGGTTGCCAGGTGAAATCTATCACTTTTATTTTGTTCATTTCATTTGATAATGCTGAGACCATGCAATGAACATTTAAAATGCATATTCATTCTATGTAGAAGTTCAAAAAGTTCACATTTCCTATACATTTTCTTTGTATAATCTTTATGTAGAGCTGATTCCTAGTACTTTTCGGTCTTCGTACTAACCACCTATTTTTATAATGTCTATATCTAGGTGAGAGAAATAGCTCAGAACTGATGTTACTGTAAATCCAAAGAGAAAGTACAGATCTTTGACTCTGAGATAGGATTTAAACTGAGTAGATAGTTGAAAGTTGAAGTTCAGAAGAATACTCAATTTTTGGAAAAAATATAAGTCATAAGTGCATAATAAATTCTACACAGTCTCTCTCTAATTTAATGAAATTTTATTTTTCTGCTTTATGTCTACTTGCCAGTCATATTTTCCTCCCTTACATGCATCTACCTTAATATCTACCATAATTTCTTTGGATATGCCCTTGAAAATATATTTACCCTTGTGAAATATTCAACAATGTGAAGAGTATACACATACATGCACGTACAGTTTTGGGTAAATTTTTTAAAAATATAACATATATACATATGGAAGAGTACACAAATTATAACTGAACGACTCAATTATTTTTAAAAAGACTTATTAACTACTCCCCAGATCAAGACAAAGAATATTAACACCCCAGAAATCTCCATTGTGCTCCATCTCAGTTATTGCCTCCTACAAAGATAATCACCGTATGACTTCTATTGACATTGATAAGGTTTTCTTATTTTTTTGAAATTTAAATAAGTGGATTTTATAGTACTTACTCTTTGTTTTTCATCTGGTTTCTTTCATTCAACATGATGTTTATGAGATTCATCCTTGTTATTGATAGCAACCTTTTGTTCTTTTTCATTTCTGTATAGTATTCTAGTGTATAAAGTTATTTATACAATCTAGTATTGATAGGAAAGGCAAGCTGTTTCCAATTTGGGGCTACTGCAAATAATGATACTATGAACATTCTTGTACTTGTATGTGGTCATTTTGGTTTAGAATTGAGCAATGAGTGGAATTGCAGGGCCATATTGTGTGTCTATGTTCTGCTTTACTAGTTACTATCAAATAGTTTTTCAGGAGGAGAGAGAAGGCGCTGACAGACACAGGAGATGGGAGAATGCAATATGAGTGTAAGAATCGTAATGAATCTAAAGGGTCAATAAGGACAGACTGAGTGGGATAGAAGGTGAGAGCTGTGGAATACTGCTGACCAAGCTTGGTAGAAAGTACCAGGTAAAAGAAATATGAATGTAATTATGATGTTACTAGTTTTTTCCCAGTTCTAGATGAAGGGATGTCCATTTCTCCTGTATTCTGTTAGCTCCATGAGAGCAAGGATCATTTTTATCATCTTGACCACTGTAAATCCCCTACTTACCAAAAACCTAGGAGATAGTACATGTTTAATAAATATGTGTTAAAAGAAAGAAAAAAATGAAAGAAATGAAGATTATAAGCTCTTTCTGAGTTTGGGCTAATGAATTTGTCACTTATGAGGCATCAAAGCCTAATTTAGATTGGCACATAGTAAATGCTAAATATGTTGAAGGAAAACAAATGTAGAAATGGTACATAGTGAAGGGATTTCTGTGATACCAATTGTGAAAGCATTTGTGCTGTAGGATTTTGACTTGGATGTGCTTGTAATATGAATCTGATCCATTAACATTTGAGCCAGTATTCTTAATAGAATGATGTGGAACATTAAAACAATTATCCAATATCCCTTATCAGATGCTTCATTCTACTCCACCCACATCCCAGTAAAATGCCTTTGTATTACTAATCTGAGTATTACTAAAGATTACTGAAGATCATTGCAACATTTTCAAAACCTTTTGAAATTTTCTTTTGCCTAACAGAAGGTTCTAAACACATCCACCAATCATATTTTTAAGTAAGGGAATGAAGAAAATATAGACAAAATTATATAATTAATAAGCTATATAAATAAACTTTATAAATCAAGCTATATATTAAATTAGGATGAATAATTCTGTGCATTGTTTCTCAAAATATATGTAGACATTTGAAATCAGAAATGAACTAGGGTAAACGCTGAGCCACTTCAACAAAGACTCATTCTGAAGTAAACACTGCCACTTTACAGAATGTCTGTGTTTCCCAGGGCAGGAACTTGTTTGAGGCTGTGTGTTTTGGGTGGCAAAAAGGTGGTTACCTAGCAACAACCCCTCCTCCCAAGTCTGCTGCATGAGTGGTATTGCTCACGTCAGTGAATTGATTACTTGTTTGCTGGATCTAAAGAGAACTACGTGATAATGTGGTAGGGTGTGAATCTCGATCATAAGAAACTTACTGGTTTTTCCTCTGTGCTGGGTCAGCTTCTCACTCCTCATCTCGTGCTGCTAGAAGTTTGTCTAAAGAGATTGGGCAGTGAATAATATACTATTCATCAAATGAAAATGAGGGAAACCTCTGACATTTTAATTAATAACATTTATTTTCTGTTTGTTTTTAAAGCAAGCAATGAAATAGTTACCACATCTACAATACCATTAGCTCTGGGCAAGAGGTGATCTTATCACACTGTGTCCTTAGAAATAAGACAGTCCGGGGTGGGGTGGGCTTCTGTAGAAACAGTTTAAACAATCTAGACAGGTTTTAGATGACAGCATTTTACCACCTGAAGGTAAAATTAATGAGATACTAATTTATATAGAACATGCACATAAGGTACTTGTGTTTACAACAAATGAGATTAACCATATGTTAGCAATAACTTAGCAAGAAAACACACATTTTTTAGTAAGTCTTACACCATATATTTTGTCTACCTGTGATATGCATCACAAATATTGCTCTTTGTTCTAGCTAATGGATGTTTATTCCTAGAAATAACCCCACCTGGTGCATGCACAACTGAGGAAGCAAGTAATCTGAAGGAAGTGGAAAGATAAGAACACAAAATACAGATTCTGCCAATGGAAAAAATTAAATACAGTAAATTAGTTTCTGTGTTTTCATAGCATGAAGATACAAGGTTAAAACAATCTTTTATAAGACTGTTAAAATGCCAAATACGTGGGAGTAAGTAAAAAGGGAAAGAAAAGGGACTTTGGTTTATAAAATTTTCCATGATGCAAAAGACTGAAGCCAATTTCTCCCTAGACACAGTCCTGACGCTGAGTGGCTGCTCACCAATGTGCAGGAACCTGTCACTTGTACAGTAGCTTTCTGAGACTTACCCAGTGCCCCCCATACCCCAGCCCAGCACACACACTGACTACTTGCTGAGCTCCAGAGCAAAGGAATTCTTTGCGGAGCCATAATTGACAGTTGGAGTTACAATCTAAGTTCTATCCTTCAGAAAATTGCTAAATATTTGTTTTAAAAAAGCAGGTTCTTCAGATTAAAAGTAATCAGAATTTGACTCCATATTTTTTCCAGTTCCTCGGCCCCAGGAACATCATCAGTTCAGAAAAAAAAAAAAAAGTTTTCCTTTGAAAATAATAATCAATGTCATTTTAGATTTTGGTTTGATTCTTGTAACAATTTTGCAAAAACCTGTAAGAAGTCGGGGTTTTAAACTAGAAATGTCATTTCTGAAGCAGTCTCATCATTTGCAAAAGTCATAGCTGAAACTGAATCTGAATACAGAAGGGATTACTCTCATCTGTACCTAAGTACTTTAACTGGTCAAATGTCAGATATTAAAGGGAAGGGAGCCAACAGACAGATGGAGCAATAACATCAGCAAAGTGTTTAAACTAATGATTTATTAGAAAATAAGTAATTATAATGGGAAAACTGTTGTCTTATTTCAAATGGATCAATGTGCAAAGAATTTTTTTTCTAACATAGGTATAATACATCAAAGAAAAATTTAGAAAGATAGAAAATATATTCTTGCATTTTACAATGGGTCATTTGATGCAGAAATTTCTTCTTATTCTTCTCTTGAATCGCCTCTGTAAATCGCATTATTCTGATAACTCACAGACACATTTTTACTGATCTGGAGGATCAGGAGATTTTATATTAGGAACTGACAGCGACGAGTTTCTGTGCTCATCTCCATGTGTCTCTGAGCGTCCACAGAATAGAAAAGCTAATCTCCAGTAGTCCAACAGTTAAAATAATTGATGAGTGTATGTTGAATCCTCAGGAGAGAAGAGAGGAAGAAAGGAAGGGGAGAGGAGAGGCTTGGAGGGAAGAGGGGAGGGGGGGCAGGTGCTGATTTCAACCCTGTAGCGTCAGGATTGCGTCAATTCGGGTTTCAGCCACGTCTAGACTCTCAGAAACGAGCTTCTCAGAAGAGCCAAAACAGGAACAGGGGTGGCAAATCACTGTGCGAGGGCGAGTGAACCTCCCTCTTTGCCTCCTCCCCGCTCCAGGCGCAGGTCCCCCGGGCTCTGCGCTGTTGTTTTCAGCACTCGGGAAAGCCGGCGCTTCAGATCCAGGCAAGTGAACCAAGAAGGGGAGTTTTCCGTTCAGCACCTCGGACAGAACACGCAGCAAAAAATGGCTCCGATCACTAGCAGCCGGGAAGAATTTGGTAAGCAAGTTACTCAACTTATAACCACAGTTGTTCCTTGAATACTCCGGGGTGGGCTGTGTTTTTTTCCGCGGGATGGTTGAATACAGATTTCCTAGGTAGTTAATCTGTAAGGAAAATGAGAACAGTAAATGGGCAATCGTGACTTATCTCTGTTGTTTCTCCCTTCCTTGGTATCTTTCTCCTTAAAATTGCCTTCTGCTAGGGCGATTTTACATCCAAGAAGTTCCTAAATGTTCAGGTAGCTCTGCAAATTGCAGCACGCGCTGAGCAAAGGAAAGGAGGTCTGTTGTTTGCTTGCTGGTTTCATTAATTCTGTAGGTGATTTTTATTTATAGATAAATCTGTGTTTAACTTATTAGCGGAAGCCAAATGTTTCTGTGATTACATAAGGGTTTGATCTTGGTATAAGACAACTTATATATTGGAGAGTTGGAATGTATGTGTTATTACAGATACCATAAGGATGTTTTTCTGTGCTATGTTTTTTTGTGTGTTCTTGAAATACGTTGCTAGCGAAAGATACAGAATCCTATGTTGCTAGGATTAAAGGGGTATTGGAAATGAACTAGCCTAGCCCATTTCATTTCGCAGGTGAGGTAACCATAGCCTAGAGAGATGAGGGAAGTGTTGCAGGTCAAACGGTTAGCTAAAAGCTGCTGGAAACTAGATTTAGGACTCCTATTTTCCAGTTCAATTTCCCTTTTCCTATACCAGATTTTTGGCACCATTGCTCTCCTTCTGTCTTTGAGTAAATAAAATCAGATGTACTTCTTCAAATAAAAAAGTAATATTATAGGTCCCATTATATTCCAAAGACAAGAGATCAGAGTTTTACTTACTTTACAAGTATTCAAAAAAAAAAAAATCAAGGAATTTTATAGAAGTTTGTGAATAAGAATTGATATCTACAAATGCATGATAATTGTTATTAAATTGAATGAAATGACTGAGATCTTTACTCTCAAAAACTTAAGATCTTATCAGTAGAGAATACATAGGGAGTAGGTGAGTCTTTCCATGTTATAGAGAATCTTTTGCCATTTGATAGAAGTATTAAATAGAGACACTTTGTGATACTATATTCAGGAATGAGTTTCTTTCACAGCCTTCCATTGGGTGATTGAGTTTATATTGTTGTGATGCTTATTCCCAATTTCTTATTAGAAAATCAGAAATTTTCTGGTACTGAGGCATTTTCAGAGACTGTGCTAGTGAAATATATGTTGTAGCTTGGGCCACCAGTCTATTTTAAAAATCACTTTCTGTTACCGTTATTGTTCTTCTTGCGTTGGCTAGAGAATTGCCTTAGTTCATGACTTTGCTTTTGCTCCATGGCTTGGATTATTAGAGAGCCCAAGAGTGGATTTTTTTTTCCCTCACAAAGACTTGAATAGAAGGAAAAAACTGAAAAGCTGATACTAAGTTTAGCTGATTATCTTTAGCTCTCGTTTTATTCTTTTTCTGTAGCATCACTGCTTTTTCTATTTGGGGAATTCAAAGGTTTATTTTTCATCTCTACGTGATTCAGCTTTTTGATATAATGAAACTTTAGAATTTTTTATTGTTGTTTTATTCTGGCTGTTTGTTAAAATCTTCTTAGATACTTCTGCTCTTATTTCCATTTCTTAATCTTGTATTGTTTGAGTTCAGTTTTGTAATTATGAGGCAGATTTGCGGAAGATTTGGGGGGATGGGGAAGGGAAGTAACAAAAGATCCTTCTTCCAGGGGTTATTTAAACAAGACTTAACCCTTTCCTGACCATGACTTTTAACTTTATTATCCACTATTTGGCATTAAAAAAACAGGTTGGAATGAAACCAAATGCAGATAATATTACAGAAGTTATATTTACTTTGATTATATTAAACATTGACTCAGTTGATTCACTGCTGTCCAGATATAGAAATACTGCTTTTACTTACAGTATTACTAATCATTTCTTGGAGAAATATGCTTACATATGGAACATGGTAAGCTTCATGCATAATCAATGTTACCTAATGTCAGTAAGTTAATGTGCCCTCATTCAAGGAAAGAACACCAATTTCAATTTGATTACCATTTGCCATGTGAAAATGTGCTAGGAAAAAATCAGTTATGGAAAAAACTGAACTCTAAATTATCTATACTTACTTACTCTTCTCATTACATGTGAAGGAATGATGATTCATTTATAACCATTGTTTGGTTTTTATCCTATTTAGGTGTAATTAATTTGTACCTTAGATAATTCAGTGTTTGAGGAGTTTCAGGCTGGTATACAAGGAGTTTGCAGTGTTATAAGTTATATAATGTTAATATCCTGTTGTTCATCTTTTTTTGTTCCTTTTTCCCTAATACATGTACATTTCTTTTACTGCTGTTTCATAATTTGGGTGGAAATTACTAGTGTTTGTGACAATGGCAGATAATGTTCCACTATTTCTTAAAATTAAGTGAACCACTGAGTCCCTAGATATTTTCTGCTTGAATCTTGGGTAAAGAACTACCAAGAATACAGAATCTCTCAGTATTTGAAGAATGTGTATTTAGAGGTTTATAGTCAGTAAGAATTGATGCTTCTGGAAAGCCTCAAAATGTCAATGAAAACATAATGAAATTAGTACTGATCTATCAAGCTGTAGTTGACTTTTGTTATCGGAGAAAACAAAGGTAGGTCAGGGTCATTTGGCACCCCCCCCATCCCTGGTCCGGGCCCAGTTTCATCTTTTCATTTTATTTATGAAAAACTACTGAAATAAAGACGTTTCTAGCATACTGTATTTTTGTTTCTGTGTGTCACACAGGGGATGTGTTTATTCCTGAAAATGATGCGAAATGTGTACATAACTTATACCCAGAATAGTCAGAAAGTAATTCAATCTGTACAACCTACAACAATTGCCAGCTCTAGTACGCTTTTCAGATAGGTTCATATCTCCAACTCTGCTCTTTTAATGTGTGTTATTGGTCATTTAATTTTTCAGATGAAATCCCCACAGTGGTGGGGATCTTCAGTGCATTTGGCCTGGTCTTCACGGTCTCTCTGTTTGCATGGATCTGCTGTCAGAGAAAATCATCTAAGTCTAACAAGACTCCTCCATATAAGTTTGTGCATGTGCTAAAGGGAGTTGATATTTACCCTGAAAACCTAAATAGCAAAAAGAAGTTTGGAGCAGATGACAAAAATGAAGTAAAGAATAAACCAGCTGTGCCAAAGAATTCATTGCATCTCGACCTTGAGAAGAGAGATCTCAATGGCAATTTTCCCAAAACAAATGTCAAAGCTAGCAGCCCTTCTGATCTGGAGAATGCAACCCCAAAGCTCTTTTCAGAAGGGGAAAAGGAGTCAATTTCCCCTGATAGCTTAAAGTCTAGCACTTCCCTTACTTCAGAAGAGAAACAAGAGAAACTGGGAACCCTCTTTTTCTCCTTAGAGTACAACTTTGAGAAGAAAGCATTTGTGGTTAATATCAAGGAAGCCCGTGGCTTGCCAGCCATGGATGAGCAGTCAATGACCTCTGACCCGTATATCAAAATGACCATCCTCCCAGAGAAGAAGCATAAAGTGAAAACCAGAGTTCTGAGAAAGACCTTGGACCCACTTTTTGATGAGACCTTTACATTCTATGGGATCCCCTACACCCAGATCCAAGAGCTGGCCTTGCACTTCACGATCTTGAGTTTTGACAGGTTTTCAAGAGATGATATCATTGGAGAAGTCCTTATTCCTCTTGCAGGCATTGAATTAACTGATGGAAAGACGTTAATGAACAGAGAGATTATCAAGAGAAATGTTAGGGTAATTCTTTTTTAGTGCTTAAAGTAATTACAAACAATCTTTTATGCAGCTTTTTTGTTTCTAGGGGGTTTCCATTAAAATGATAAATTTTGTATATATCATCTTTACCATATTTAATTATTATTTATCATAATTAAATAGGGAGCAAGGGAATAGAGTATACTAAAGAAGATTAATCTCACAACCGAAATGCTTAAAGTATTTTAATAATATAAAACACATAGGCATCCTTTACGGATACTTAAATATCATTTATATAAATATTTTTGTTGATTTCTATTGTAAGCATTTTGAATACCTGTCACTTAAACTAAAATGCAGGCAAATATTTCTTATTCATAAGCAAGTTAACAAAGACGTTTCAAAGTCAGCATAACTGAATTTGAAATTGAAATTGAAATTGAAAATTAAATCAATTCATCCTGAGGATTTGGAAGTTGTATTGACTTTTCATAGAATTGCTTTTCAAGGAAGAGACATCACATCATTTTGAATTATAAATGTCCATGTTTATGTTGTATAATAGGAAGTGAGTTACTCTGCCTTTGTAGTTAAACTACTGATGTAATTCTGGGATTACTAGAAAATGACAAGACATCAATTAATCAAATTTAATCCTATTTTCACTGTAAATACAGAACTCAATTGATTCCAATGTTACTATTTCAGAATAGCTTTGTCTATAAGGCGTAATTTTATAGAATACCATGAATTTCATTTTGACCACATACTCGCCTTTGTCTCTGTTGAAGTTAACGAAAGTCACACTCTGGATACATTAAGTAGCTTGTTTGAGATACCCTGCTGCTTAGTGTGGCACAGTGGGAATAAAGATCTGTTCCCACTCTCATTCTTCTTAGAGTACTTATTCGTTCAGTTACCCCATGTAAGCTTTTGTAAAAATATATATTGAAGTTTTAGGAGCTCTGGCCAGCCATCATTCTCAGTTATTATCAAACCCCAAGTTTATATTTTGTTACTTTCAGTTAAAACTTGTACTTAGAGTTCTTGGTCATCTTATCTAACGTCTTCAAAGTATAAATACAGTAAAATCTAAGTAGCATACGAAGAAAGATCCTGTGATCCTGTCCAAAAAAAGCGTTAAAAATTGAGTCAATTCTCTCCAATATTTTATTCATTTCTTGGATTAAATGAGGACCTTGGGTAGGGGCTGGGAGCAGAAAATTTTAACTCCATTAGCCCTCTGGGCCAGGAGAATGGTGAAGGTCAGAATAAATTTCAGTTGGTCTGAACTCAAATTCCAGTAATGTCAGGGCTAAAGAATTTGAATTCAAATCAAACTTACCACGAGTCATTTTTACCTACACAGATCCATTCAAATGATTAGACAACTTTTATTACTATTCATAACTTCAAAAAGTAGAGAATTAATTAAAAAGCAAAAGCTAAAAGATACCTCTGTGTAGGCTGTACTCTAAATATCCATTTAAACATTTCTAGTAGTGGGTGTGGCTAACTCACTGCAAATTTTAACCTTCTGTAGTACCTTAAAAGACCACAAGATGGCAGGCAGTTGTTTCAGGAGGCGATGATACTGCCCAAAAGCTTGTAGTTACGCTTGGATTCCTTAGCATATTAAAATAACAATAAGTAGGAAAACTACATTAAAATAACAATGTTATTATATTGATTTAAAATGTTATATCAAGATCAAGTTTTGAAAGTAAAAATTAATAAAAATACTTATAGCACCTCTTTCTTTGTTTAGAAGTCTTCAGGACGGGGTGAGTTACTGATCTCTCTCTGCTATCAGTCCACCACCAATACTCTCACTGTGGTTGTTTTGAAAGCTCGACATCTGCCGAAATCTGACGTGTCTGGACTTTCAGGTAAGAATGCTTCTGAGAAATTCAGGCTCAGTGTACAAGTAATACATTGGGCAAAATAGTTAACAGCTAACATAATCAGGATTTTCATTTACCTTTTAACCACAATCACAAATGATGAGATTGTTTTTCTGTTCCTCATTTTATAAAATACTAGTGTGAGCCAGTGTCATTAGCAAGAAGAAGAAAACTACGTAGGTCTAAGATCTAAGCCAAAACTAGTACATGGTAGGTGTCTGATTGGATGGAGTTGAAGCAGAAAGCAGTGATAAATGCAGAAGTGAGAGGCCATTGCCAAAAACACAGCAACAGAAATCAAGTTAAGTTTTGGGAGAAGAGTTCTTAATTTTAGTATTTTAAATGAGCCTGCCTACCCTTACACTTTGATTATGTTTCCTTTAATTCCTTATGTATCTGCTTTAAGAATTAGCTTTTAGTTTTGTTACTAATTTTGTAAAGAAAATAGTACCTTGTTGTATAGCAAGATGAGAAAGAACGCATGACCTATGGGTTAAAATAATCTTAGTTGAAATCCTAACCTTTCCATTTCTTAGCATAGAAACCTTGAGTATGTTTCTTAAACTCTATACAAACTGAACGTACTACTTATGTTGACAGAGACCGTGAGGATTAGAAAGGCATACTTCATTAAATATCATCCAGTTATATTATTATTGTCAGTTGATAATGGACATTGAATACATGGTCTTAAAGGTTTAGATTAGGAAGCTAAAATTACCTTATATGCTGCAACCAGAAAAAATAATGTAATTAAATCTGTGATAAAGTAGCATGATCCTAAAATCCACACACTGTAGGTGACATAGGGAAGGTCAACACTGGGAAACAGGAAGCAAACCCAGCAGATCACTAAAGAAGCACAGAAAAGGTAAAGCCAAAAAGGAGGTTACTACTGTGATTCTAAATGCCTGTTCAACAGAAAAAAACAGCTCAAGCTCTGAGAGGTAGAGAGACCATCCAAAGTCATGCAACTTAGTAAGGCTAGATATTGTCTAATGTTTTGTCCTTCTATCCCATTCTCTAGAATGAGTTATTAGTAATCAGCATGTGTCATTAGAAAATTCTATTTTCTTCCCCTTTATATTATCTCTTCCTCCTGCCATGATAGCTCCTTTCCCATCCTCTCGTGAACAACTGTTTTTTCTTGCATTGCATGTTCTTACTTATTTTCAATTTGTTGACAATAGAGAAGCCAAGCTTTATCTACATTTTCACTTTTTTCTGACTTATTTTCACTGTAATCACACTTTACTGGGATGCAGTAATCTCTAAGGGCACCATTATCTTGAGATCAGCTCTTCAGTCAGCTTCCGTCCTTGTAATGTCTGTTGTTTACCATCACAGATCCCTATGTTAAAGTGAACCTGTACCATGCCAGAAAGAGAATCTCCAAAAAGAAGACTCATGTGAAGAAATGCACCCCCAATGCAGTCTTCAATGAACTGTTTGTGTTTGATATTCCTTGCGAGGGTCTTGAAGAGATAAGTGTTGAGTTTCTGGTTTTGGATTCCGAAAGAGGATCCCGAAATGAGGTGATCGGGCGGTTGGTCCTGGGAGCAGCAGCAGAAGGAACCGGTGGAGAGCACTGGAAGGAGATCTGTGACTATCCCAGGAGACAAATCGCCAAGTGGCACATGCTCTGTGATGGTTAGCATCCTATCCATGAGTTGGAACTTAATGATTTTTACTTGGCGGGGAGCAATTTTCTTTCTTTCCAATATGTGATTGCAAGCTTGTGACAGCAAGCTACCTTTATTTGTTAGAAATGGGTTGAATTAGCAGACCAGAAAGTAACTGTAAATGTGTATCATGATAATTTCCCCCTTTATTAGAAAAGTTGGTGAATTTTCATAAGATATTCAATTTTCCCTGCAGGTTACCAGTGATATAAATAAGAGTAATCAAGCATTTTATGAATACTGCCCTGTAATCCCAGGTTATGGATGTGGTTTATGTGATGATGATCTCAGAACAAGTCACTGGAAGTCAATGTGATTGTTAGGATTTAGGAATGAAAAGCATACCTTCTTTTATGAAAATTCATCCATTTTTCTTCAAATGGGAAAATGTATTTTTCTTTAAATCCAAAGATATTAAAGAAGTGTTCTCTACTTTGTTTTGATTAATTACATAATGTACAAATGATTGTCCTGCATATAAAAGTATATGGTCATTTCTCTTTGGTTTGTAATTATTTGATACAATTTTATCACAAGAGGACTAACAGGTTTGTTTCCAAAGGACAGTAAACAAGCTGAGAAACCTTTTTATCAAAGGGCTGAGTTGAGAACACTGTGACTGAAATATGATTTTTCTCCCCCCTAAGGTTGTATGTGAGTCAAAGTGTTATAAAATATCTCACATAAGAACCATGGCCTTGAATTATTCATTGCCTGTCACAAGTGTCAGTGTGGTCTAAAAAGGCCCTATTTACCTTTGTGAAAGTTGTTGAATTAGCTAGTGGGTAAAGAAATAAACTTCAGCTAGAAGTCCAATTAGAAATGCGGTTTGCTTATAGGAGATATGTATAGTATACATGTGTATGATCAAGGCTACTCCTTGTACACAGAGAGGGCATGGATAACTAAGTCTTCATTTAGCTTGTTTTCCCCCAGAAAGTACTAAGCTACTATTTGAAAAGAAACAAACAAACAAAAAAGACCGAAGTTTTAACCACTGCCAAATAGAAAGCATTTACTTAAACCAACAAATTCAGTAATAAGACTAAAAAAATAGTTATACAGCAAGCCTAATATAATTTACATATGTTCACACAAAATATATTTAGGCTGTCAAATTAGCACAACAAAGTATGTTTCACTAGCTTTTCTAGGTTAATTTATCTTGAGCTGTTGTCTGTGGAACAGTTTATAGACTTGTGTTCTGTACCATTTTAAAGCGTCAGGACTCTGAAATTCATTAAAAATGTGATAGAGTGAAGCAGAGCCCTGTGATCATTTGGAAAGAATTAACTTGAGGTAACGCTACAACACGTGAGTTTTTAGAGACGTATGAGTGAAACTCGGGTACAGCTGAACTATTAAATATGCAAGTTAGAAATGAAGTCTACTGAAAAACTTACATTTTGAGTCAGGTTTTGTGTCGGTACTTTAGCAGTTTTTGAGAATGTGTTTGATATCACAGTGTTTGTAAATTCTATGACAATGCATTTTCAAAACAACTTATACATGCTTTTTATGACTATGCCTAATGTAAAAAAAATGTTTTACATTCTATATGTACAAAAATGGAAACCAACCTCTTTTTTGTGCTTTAAGATGACTTTGGGATTAAAAACGAATATTCTCCAATCATTGTCATCATTCTACCACAAGTTCACCTCACAGCATCTTGGTCCACTTAGCATTTCTGTGAAAGCAACGTGAAATGAATTGTAGTCAGTGTGTGGTTTGGGGAAGTCAAATGGCCTTTTTGTGTATGTATATTTGGTATCGTGGGCCATGGAATATAATATATTTTGGAGCTCTAAAACATTGTGAGAAGTCAACTCTAAGTATCCTTTACAACAGCCAAATGTTAATGGTGGTACCAAGTGAAGTATGGTTGTGGGAGAAGGGTGATTTTTTTTTTTAAAGTGGAACAGCAAAACCAACAAGAACTACTTTTAAAATTACAAGGAATCATTTGTAAATAGTTGTTAGTTTTTAAAACTTACAGTGTTTTTGAGTGTGAAAAGTTGAGTAAAACTATTTGCAACTGCTTTTAAGAAAAGAAAGAAGCAAAACTAGAAAGGAGTTGAAACAGGCAGGGACATGCGTAATCCCATCAACTGGTGAAAATTGTACCGTTTTATAATGCATTACAATATCAATGTGAATATCTTGAACTCTGTTACCAATCCTGCACTGTATGAAACATGTAAATTAGTTGTTTGTCTGATTAACCAACCTAACCACCCTAATGGGGAGGTATTCCTGTTTGAAGAACTGTGTAACTCGGTAACTGACTTGTTCTCATGTCGTAACTCAATAGAAGTGACTTGGAAGGAAGCATGGTGTATGAGGTGGTGTCTGTTCTTTCGTGCCAGCTCTGTATGATGTTTGTAAGACCCTATTTGTAAGACATGAATAAATTGCTGCTTTTGCCCAAACCATTTCAATGCAAACTTTCTGCCAATGGACTCTGTAGTAAGGCTTCTCTTATTTCTATCTAAACTCAGGTTTCCCTCATAACTCTCCTGGCATAGATTAGAGAACTTTAGTGACTCAGAACCAACATCTTCCATATGTCTTATTTTATTTTGTTTAATCCTCATAACAATCATCTGGGACAAATATTATTATCCCTGTTACACAGAAGCAGAACCTGAAACTCAAGGAGCTTGGGCAGTTGACTCAAGTTCACATGGGCAGTAAGTGAAGGGATTTCATTGCATCCTGCACTCCCCCTCTAAGCCATACCACTCTCCTCGACGGATGCTCATCATCTGACTCTGTAAGATTCTTAAAGAGGCTCGTGCCCATATTCTTTGACGTCATTCTACATTGTATTCACTTTTCCATATTTTATTTACTTTTTCATTACTTTCCATAGCTTTTCTTATTTTTGTCTTTTACAATCTTATTTCTCATCTTATCTCTTTTATTACCTATTTTGTATTACTGCCTTTTCTTTTCTTTTTCATTTCCCCACATCCTCGCACTGGATAGATTTAGTTAGTAAAATGATGTGGGAATGGAAGCCTTATTCCTTCTTAAAAAGCAGGGAAAAAATCCAAGATATCTGCAATGCTCCCATCAGACATCAGCTAAGGAAAATGGGAACAATGGGATTCATCACTGGGAGGACTGGCCATTTTTTATAGCATCAGTCTATGTGCAGGTATTTTGTGTTATCACACTCGGAAAAACAACCTTGTACATGGAATGCATCTAGAATGTGCTGCCATTGTAGTTTTGTTTCAAATCATATTAATGGTATTGAGTGTGCACAGGTATGTTAAAAGAGTTGATCATTACATTTAACTGCTCAAATATATTCTAAGGATGCCTGCCTGCCAAAAGAAACCAGAGACACTAAGGAGATTCCAAGAGAATTAGTCATTAGGGAAATGCTAACTAAAACCACAGTGAGATACCACTGCATACCTGTTAGAATGGCTGAAATTAAAAAGTTTAAACATACCACATGTTGGTGAGGATTTAGAGGAACTAGATGCCTCCTACACTGCTGGTGGGAATGTGAAATGTGCTTCTGCATTGGGGAACAAGTAATCAGTTTCCTAGAAAGTTAAACAGACACCCACTATATTCATTCCACTCCTAGGTATTTACCTAAAATGATGAAAGCATGTGTTTATACAAAGACTTGTACATGAATTTTCATAGCAGCATTATTTGTGATAGCCAAAACTGGAATCAACCCAAATGTTCATCAACAGGTGACTGGATAAATAAATTGTGTTATAGCCACACAATGGAATACTACTCAACAATAAAAATGAATGAACTATTGGTACAGGCAACAACAAATATGAATCTTAGAATAATTATGCTGAGTGAAGGAAACCAGATATTCCTCGCAAAATGCAGAGTGCATGACATTTGATTTCATTTATAGAAAATGTTGGAAAATGCAAACAAACCTGTAGTGATAAAAAGCAGCTCAGTATTTGCTGGGGATTGGAAGAGGCTGTAGACAGAGGTGTGAGAGAGATTTGAAAGGAGCCAGAGGACATATTTGGGATGGTGAATGTGTTTATTCTCTTGATTGTAAAGATGGTTTCATGGTGTATACACTTATCAAAATTTATCAAAGCATACTCTTTAAATGTGTGCAGTTTACTGTATATAAAGTATACCTCAATAAAGCTGTTAAGGGAAAAAAAGAATAAGTAGAAGGCAGTTATAACCAAACCAAAAAGAGGAATAACAATACTAACATTACTACCAGCAATATGATTTCTGAAAATTAATAATATTTAATATACTTTGTGAGTAGTTCTTTTTCTTCTTAATGTGTATCTCCCCAGGAATGTATCGTTAGATGACTACTTTTTAAAGTCACACAAGATGGTTCCTGTGTAATTATGCCACCAGCTCCTTGTTCATTTAAGTATTTTTTTGTGTGTGTTTCATTTCTATTTTTAAGAAATTGATTTTGAAATTCAATTTTGTTTTATAGTTGTGTGAACCATTTACATTGTTTTAAAGTTAAATTTACAAAACAAAGTGTATTAATGGAAACCCATCTTCTATTTCTACACTAAACCTGTTCCTTCCTCTCCCATACATAATGACTTTTAAAAGTTTTGGTTTAATTCTTCTACTATTTAATATAAGCAAATGTGTATATATAGTCACATTTCCCTCTTTATTAGATGAACAAAAGCATGTTATACACTATATCCTGGACATCATTCCTGGGTTGCATATAGAGATAGTTCTCTCTCTTTTTTAAACTGTATACTTGTCCCTCATAGCATCAATTATAAATGCGTCATTTGGTTATTTGGGAACATGTGTTTACTCTCCCTCGTTATAAGATAACGCCCTCATAAAAAGGTAATGTGTGTTTTGTTGATCTTTACATTTCCACAATAGCTAAGTCAGGGTTTTGCATATAGTAAGCTCAATGAGTATTTATTTAATGAAAGTTTGAACCACCATAAATGTCAGATGTGAACCAAATTCAGTTGACGGTTATAGGGAAAGCCTTGTGAAAACTACTATTGTTCAGGAATAGTAGTAGAAAAAACAGTTACTCCAAAGATATAAAAGAAATTTTTTATCATTCAGATATAGTCCATTATGTAAAAAAGGCCATATATCCATAATCGAGACCCTTAAACTTTTCAAATTAGTTTTGGGTGAAATATGTTGTATTGTTTGTTTCTTAGAATTAGACTTACATTCCCAATTTCTAGTATTAAGCTAGCAATAAAGTGATTTTGTTTTCCTTAATAGAATATCATCTGAGGTCAAGGAACGATAATTTAAAAGCAACTAGGATATAAATTTGACTTAAAATTTACTGTGGGTGATCCAAAATGTTAACATTGAGGTTGTATACCACACTGAAATATGACCTAATGAGATGTCAAAGTTCATCAAAGTAAAAGATTTTAAGAGCATAGAAACACTGAACGACCTACTAGGCTAGGCTGTGTGAAGTAATGTGGATAGCAGTTGGGAAATCACAGCCAACAAGTAGATGTCCAGGCCTGCACCTCTGATGTCCTTGTGCCTCAAGGAGAGAGGGCAGGAGCACACTGAAAAGGTTGCCTCAGGCTCTGCTACATTCATAGGTGATTTATTCAGTGGAGAACGCATAAAGACACATAGCCTTTGGATGCAAAATAGGTCCAGTTCTCAACCTCAAATAGATCCCTTGACCCAGGTCATAGATAATACTGATGATGCTAATGTCACTGCTGCTGTGTTACCTCTGGTACTAACAGTCACCACTTTATGATTGGAATTACTTGTGTAAAGGTTATATTTCATCTCAATGGGGAATCTTTCTGTGATATGCATTGCCGTATCCCCAGTATCTGTTCATGGTAGTAGGTAACTCAAACATTTATTGAATTGAAATTTAAAACATAACAATACAATGCATTTTCTAATTTATATTGTCTCAACTAATGTGCAGCACAACCCAAGATGTAGGCAATGTTCCTCCAGTTCTACTGATGGTAGAGATAAATCTCACAATTTTATCTCATTTAAAACCACACAGCGGCAGAGAGGGGATGGAACCTAGAGCCATCTGAACACAAAGTCCCTGTTGTGTGTACAGCACCACACTGACCTGCTTCTAGCTGGCACAGAATCTTGTGTTTCTTCTCTCACCCCCAATTCCTGCGATAACTTCAGACATATAGCAAATACTGGAAATACTGGAAAATAATGTTTGAATTCATTCTCCAGGTTGTTTTTTTTTTTTTTTTTTTTAACACAGATCATATAACAAGTAAGTGGTGACAAAGACTCCCTCCTTGACCAAACTTTAGTCAGATTCTTCTGAGCACTTTTGTTCTCTAGGCATCAGGCTTGGCCTGCCAAACCCAGGTTTTGTTTTGTTCTTTTTAAAGATTGGCACCTGAGCTAACATCTGTTGCCAATCTTCTTCTTTTTTTCTTTCTCCTGAAAGCCCCCTAGCACATAGTTGTATATTTTCTAGTTGTGGGTCCTCCTAGTTGTGGCATGTGGGATGCCGCCTCAATGTGGCCTAATAAGCGGTGCCATGTTGGTGCCCAGGATCGGAACTCGCAAAACCCTGGGCCACTGAAGCCGAGTGTGGGAACTTAATCACTCGGCCATGGGGCCAGCCCTCCTACCAAACCCAGTTTTAGCAAAAAATTTTGCTAAGTCAGCTTATTAAGAATCCTCCACCCCTTATACCTGATCAAGTTCTTCACAGCCCACCCTTGATATCTAAATCCTTGGCCTGTCATTAGCAAGAATTCTGTTAAGCCTGTTTACCAAGAATGTCCCTACCCTTGGTATCTAATCAAGTTCCTCTTAGTAATTTTCCATGCACTGATCCCTCACTCTGATCATTGATTATTAATCCCCAGTTGTCTTTGCTGTATTCTGAATTGAATTCAATCTCTCTCCTCTATTGCAAGTCTTGAATAAAATCTTATTTGCCATGTTTAAGATGTGTCGGAATAATTTTTTCTTTAGCAGTGGTAGAACTTGAGACTAAATATGTCTAAGTTTTCCACTAAAAGTTTTTAAGAACTGTCCACTTCTCTGAACATTCATGTTTGAGAGTTCAATACAGAGGTACCAGCTCAATGTCATCTTAAATACCAACACCATTCCAGTGGTCATGACTATGTGGAAAATCATGTTGAGGTGGATTATGAGATCAAATCATCGTTTAACATGAACTTGATAACCTATGTACTAGGAGGAATTTTCTCTGTCTAAAGGGAACATTTCTATTTAGCATCTGGTAAGCAAAATTCCATAGGTTTGATTTTATGTTGGTAGAACACAAATTGATTAAATTACTTTATTAGGTCAACTTCTCTTTCATATAATATACTTTTGTTGTCTCTATATCTTAATGGATTAAAAAGACCATGAGTTTCATGTTTCATCTCTCTTGTTTTGAATCTTGGCTTCATCTCTTACTAGTTGTTTGATG